TAACTTGAAGCAGGAGAAGGACGCGGATGACGAGGAGGAACCGAGCCTCGGCAACAAAATACACCTCAACTGGCTAGTGCGAAACATTCGTTTCCTGGTCAACAAGGAGGTGGCCAAGGCACCACATGACATAAGCATAGTAAGTTTAAGAACTGTCCAAAGTTTAGAGAGAATCTAACTTATCTTTATTTTACCTTCCAGCGCACTGCTATGTTCACCCTAATTGAAGCTCTTACCACTCTTCTCAGCGTGGAGGCTGTGTCCCAATTAGCACCCTCTCTACTCCAGGCATTGGTACGTGAAATGTCCGAGGAGGATCAGAACGTGGATGCGGAGCTGCGGCAGCAGGCACTGCGAGTGGGCAGTCGGTTGAGAAAACGTATTGGCACCGACGTCTACGACAAGCTGCGCAATGCAGTGCAGACCAAATTGATGGCTCGTCGAGCCGAGAGGAGAAAGATAGTGGCCCAGGAGAAGATCCATGATCCGGAACGGGCAGCCAAGCGGAAGGCGGGCATTCAGGAGCGGAAGAAGGCGGCCAAGAGGCTGAAAACAGCGGTCGTGCGTGGCAAGGCGCCGGACCTTAAGCAGAAGCTTAAAAAACGGAAGAGAAAAGCAGAGATGGATGGATTTTAGTTAGTGTCTATTTTATAAACCTAGTTTTTTATGTAGATCGAAATAAATTTGAGATATGAACCTTGTAAAATTTCGAATCCATTTAAAGTTGGCGCCATTGAGCGATAAAGAGCTTAATAATCGAATAATACAATCGATAAATCAAGACTTTTCCAACACTCACCATGGTTTTGTAACCATGTGTTATTGTTTTGAATTTTGATCTATTATCAACAACCCAAGGATGGTGCAGCTGCGACTCTGTGCCCGCATCCTGGCCAGGAGAGGCCGGCTACAGCTTCCAGTCAGGATGTCACACAGTTCCAGTAGCGATCCTTACGATGTGGTGGTCATTGGTGGCGGACATGCCGGCACGGAGGCATCTGCTGCGGCCGCTCGTATGGGTTCTCGAACCTTGCTGCTCACCCACAAACTGGAAACCATTGGGGAGATGTCCTGTAATCCCTCGTTTGGGGGCATCGGTAAAGGACATTTGATGCGCGAAGTGGATGCCCTGGATGGAGTGTGCGCCAGGTGCTGTGATGTCTCTGGTGTCCACTACAAAGTGCTGAACCGTCGACGAGGCCCGGCCGTTTGGGGACCCAGAGCTCAGATCGACCGGCAGCTGTACAAGAAGGCTGTGCAGCGGGAACTGCACAGTACTCCCAACTTGGAGATCCGAGCGGCTGCCGTGGACAACATTCTGATCGAAGATGACACCCCAGATTCGCTGAGCCGACGTTGTGGTGGTGTCTTGCTGGCCAATGGCGAAGTGGTGCGAAGCCGATCGGTGGTCCTGACCACTGGCACTTTTCTGCGGGCGCATATCAACATCGGGCTGGAAGTGAGACCAGCAGGACGCATTGGAGATGCTCCAGCCAAAGCCTTAGGGGAAGCCATCGATAGATTGGGCTTTCGCATGGGTCGCTTGAAGACAGGCACGCCTCCCAGAATAGCCAAGAGCAGTATTGACTTTTCCAAACTCGAAAGGCACGATGGCGATGATCCCCCGATGCCGTTCTCCTTCCTCAACAACCAGGTTTGGCTTCCAACCAAAGAACAGTTGCCCTGTTACCTCACATACACCACCCCAAAGGTGAGCGACATTGTCAGGGACAACCTCCACGTTAATCGCCATGTAACCGAGGAGATAACTGGTCCCCGATACTGTCCATCCATTGAGTCGAAAATCCTGCGTTTCGGCGCAAAAGTTCATCAGGTTTGGCTGGAGCCAGAAGGCCTGGACAGCCCCCTGGTGTATCCACAGGGAATCTCTTGCACACTGCCCCACGAGCAGCAAGTCGAACTGGTTCATGCCATACAGGGCCTGGAGAAGGCTGAAGTGGTCCAGCCGGGCTACGGGGTGGAGTATGATTTCATTGATCCACGCGAGCTTTATCCCACACTAGAGACTAAACGGGTGCAGGGTCTGTTCTTTGCTGGCCAAATAAACGGCACCACCGGTTACGAGGAGGCGGCGGCCCAGGGAATCATAGCAGGAGCCAATGCAGCGGGCAAAACGATACATAAGGATGGGAAGCAGCTGACAATTAGTAGAACGGAAGGCTATATTGGAGTCCTGATTGATGATCTGACCTCTCTGGGAACCAACGAACCCTACCGCATGTTTACAAGTCGAGCCGAGTTCCGCCTATCCCTACGGCCGGACAATGCCGACATGAGACTTACCCAGAAGGGCTACGAGTTCGGCCTGGTGTCGCAGCATCGGTATCAGCACTTCCGGCAAACTGAAGAGAGGCTACAGTCGGCAATCGATTCGTTGAGGAAGCTTCGAAAGCACACCCACTACTGGAGACAGGCGCTTGACCTGCCCAAAGCCAAGACCTCAGTGGAGAAGACAGCCTTCGAAATGCTGAGTATACCAGCGGACAACATTACGGTGGAGCAGCTAATCGGATTACATCCCAAGGAACTCAGTTGGCTAGCGGATGACCGAAACCTGGCCGAAAGGATCAAAATCGAAGCCCTGTACTCGTTCTTTGTGGAGGAACAGCAACGCGACGTGGAGGACGTGCGACGGGAGGAACGTCTGACCATTCCTGCCGACATAGACTACTTCTCGAAGACTCTGAGCTTGTCCAACGAAGAGCGCCAGAAGCTGACCCTCATCCAGCCGCAAACCATCGCGGCAGCTAGTCGAATTCAAGGGGTAACTCCCTCGACAATTGTCAGAATAATGAAATACGTTAAGAAGGCCGAAGCGAAGGCGTAGTTATCTGTGAATAAATGTTTTCAAAAGATTTAATCTTATCCCCTGACCAGGAAAATCCTTTGGCGTATCCTTAAGTACAGTTTATTTCATAAAATCATAAATGCCTTATGTAATGTTGCACAATATTGTTTAAATGTTTGTTTCGCATATCGTTTGCCACATGGTTTATTTTGCTATGCTGTTGTGTTTTTGGATCAAGTGATATATCTATGGTATGGATGTATGGCCTGTGGTCTTGTGGGGGATCTGCAAAAGGAGCGCACTAGCTCGAGGGCTCCTTCTTAATTCTATTGCTATTGGTTTAGTATTTGTGATGGATTTCGGTAATGGATTCTCGATTGCGTTTCGGTTAGCTTACAGTTTAATCTTTTACATTTTGTATTCTGGTTTTTATTTTTACACACACAACGAAGATTGAGGGGGAGTTACAGTACATTTAATTTACGTTGATCGTTTTCTTTAATTTGATAAGGTTTTTTGTTTTGTATTTGAAACTATTTTGCAGTAGTTGATTAGCTATCGCATGGCATCTTTGGGGAGTAAGTTATTATGCACGCCAATTGATTTCAGTTATCTGTGTGTGTCGTTCAAGAATCTATTATGATTAGTTTTATTAAAATATATATGTATTTGCATTTTCAGTTTTACTGGTACATACACAATAGTTTTTGTCAAAAGGAAAGTCGACTTTGCATATGGCGAACATTTTCATGCTGAACTTTAATCGAAACATTTTGATGGCCTTTATCGGGAGTCTATATATATCCAACGTCCCAAGGCTCATATGCAATTATTTTCAAAGTTTTTGGTTTTAAATTTTCTCTTTTTTTTTTTATAATATCACAGATTGCTCGAGATTTATGCATTAAAATATATATAAACCGTTACTTCACATCTCATTAAACTTTAGGCAATCTCACAAATTAAAAAATCAAATATTGGAGTTAAGATAGAGGAGGGTTCGAAAACTTGAGGGTTCTTGAAAACTAGATACTACATCTTTTGAGAGGATCTTTAAGGTATTAACTACTTACTATAAACATCAAATATAGTGTGTGTGTGTGGTTACAAAGTACTCTTCATTCATTCCCATGGGTACACTCGTCTAGATCGCTTCCAAAATATTCCAAATCACACAAAATAAACTATAAGTTTAAGGGCCAAAGGGTGTCGTACAAAAGTTATTTAATTTCGAAAAATAATTTCGGTCTTTTCGCTCTTCACTTCTAATCCATTTCGGAATATCTTTCTAGGTTTTTGATTTGATTTTTTATCTAAATTTTCAGTTCCATTTTTAGCATTTTTTTTTTAACCCACTTTGTATTCATACGTTACGTCCGTTTTATTTTGTTTCGTTTTCGTACTCTCCAAATCACAATTATTAGCAATTAGCAATTTAAGAATAAAATATAGCTACCCAGTGTATGTTTTGTATAATTTCTGTTTCTTTATCTTGTTTTTTGTTGTATATATATAAATTTCTTACTTAATTTACCATAGACCTAACAATAGTTTGCTCGGGCAATATGAACATTTCCACACAAAAGACTACATTGAGAGTTTTTATGGAAGAAGTATTACCTAAAATCCTTATATACTTATACTTTCAGATTAGTTATGTTTGTTTGGAATATGTCACAATAATTTACATTTTATGCAGATACGATTTGTTTTTACATTCAATTCGAAATCATTAATTGTGGTAGAATTGTATTCAACTGGTTGGTTGGTTAAACTTTAGATTGTAACACCGAGAACAAACAAATATCTGATATCTGTTATGCAGTTTATACATATAGTACTGACTCTCTAACCGATGTTGCGCCTATATGTAGTCCGTGGGAACTACATACATATATAGACCTATAGCTTCAGGAACTCGTCGAGCATTCGCTTGCGTTGCTGATGAAGAGCTCGCTCCGAGAGCAAGTACATCCCAATGTCGCTGTAGTTTTTCATTAGTTAGTTGTTCGAATTGCTGAAGAGTTGGTGTCATAAGGCGGTGGCCTCCTCGGCGCTGTTGCTGCGACCTAATGCCCCCAGCTGCACCTTCGTCTCATCTGCAATTAAAGTTTCGGAGCTTGTATTCAAAGAATGGATCACCCTTCTAATGAAGGTCAGAAACAAAACCAAAATGAAATAATAAGGCAAATTTTAAAACAAAAATGATTTATTCATGCCATTTCTAAAATTAAAAGCTTCACATTTAAACAGGCCAAATGATAATAACTAAGGCTTTAAATCATTTAGAATTGAATCTAGCCGGCGCTGGCAATACACTACAAATTCATTTATAAATAAAGATGATCGACTACACACTAAATTATCGCTTATTTAAATGTTACTGAAGGTAGATGTTAACTAGTTCCGATCCGAGGCGACTTTTCAAACTTAAAACTAAACGAATCTTTTGACTGTCCGTCCACTCCCGCCAGGGGACTAGATCCTTCTGCTTCTTCTCATGTACTCTTCATCATCTGGCTGTCTCGGTGGCAGTGGTGGTGGCGGCACTGGTGGACACCTCATCGCTGGTCTGGGCAGCTGCCGTTGGCTTGCCGGTCACTGCACTGGCACTGTTGGTGTTGGTGCTGCTACTGACCACTGGCGGCGGGGTGGTGCCACTTGTGGTGGATGTCACCCCACCGGAAGTGGACACTGTGTCCGGCGAAGCCACCGAGGAAATAGCTGCCGGAGGAGCTGGTGCCGGCGACACTGACAATCGGTCAGGGCGCTTCTTCTCCTCGAGCTCTTCTCCGGCTGTTTCTGTCTTAACGTCCGAGTCTGGAATCTTTGCAGGCTCCTCTTTGCAATTACCTGATGTTGGAGTCACTCCAGTCGCCGGCAGCGAGTTGTTCGTCTCCGACTGCGGGCTGGCGCTGCGTCGCGATCCCTGCTCTGGTGAGCTGTCCGGGTGCAGGGGCTTGTCCAGCACGGTGTTCGGGGTGGCTGGCTTCTTGTCCAGCGCCACTGGTGGCGGAGAGCTCTTCAGGGGATCCTCTTTGCCCTGCTCTTTGCTCTCCCCCTGCGAAGCTCCATTGGACTCGGCTCCGTTCAGTTCGTGGGTGGCCGGCTGTCCAGTACTGGTGTTCGAAGGGGCCTGGTTACTGGAGTTCGAATTGGATCCGGTCAGGTCCAAGGTGGTAGGCTCATGGGAAATCGGTGTGGCTGCCTTATCGATCAGCGCCGATTGCTGAGCTGCCACCACAGCGGCGATGTGATGCCTCATGGCGTGGGGACTGCCGCCGGCTCGGCCACCATTAGCCGAGGAAGAGGGCGTTATGGGGGGCGTGATCTTGGGGGAGCTGGGCAGCGAAATGGGCTGCTGTTGGTGGGCGGCCGTCGGAGTAAGACCGCTGGCCGCCGCTGCGGCTGCATGCATGGCCGCCAAGTGGCCGTGGCTCATGGGATAGTAGTGACTCATGGGAGGAATGTGCGAGCTGGACGTGGTTGGCGGCACTCCGCTTCCACTGCTGCCGCTGGGCGTCGAAGTGGGAGCCGACTGCTCCGCCCCGTGCTTCACAGCCGCGGTAAGATTAAGGCTGGCGTGTGGCGAGGATGCAGAGGAACTGGAGCTTGACGTCACGGGAATGGAGTTGGACACACCCACTCCTCCTACCGACGCCGCCGAGGTGTGTGGTGGCATCTGATGGGCGGCAGCCAGCGAGGCGGGATGGTGCGGCGACATGTGCGGGTGACTGAGGTTCAGACTATGCGGATGAGCACTCAGCCCTAGGGCTGCAGCGGAGAATCCAGGATGCGTTAGACCAGCGGCCGCCGGATGGGCCAGTCCCATAGCTGCCTGCTGCAGGTGGTGCTGCAAGTTGGGCGGCCCGTGGCCTCCCAGTGGGGAGACACCCACGCCCGGTAGTCCCGGCATGCCCAGGTTGAGGCCCATGGCAGCATGTGGACTCTGACGCTGGGCATTTGCAGCTGCCGCGTGGTAGTGCGACATTCCAGGGAGACCGTGCAGTGGCCCAGGAGGACCTCGCAGGCCCAGGTTGAGATGGGGCATCATGGAGCCCAGGAGGTTGCGATTCAGTGGCGAGTACAGCTGATTCGAGTAGTGATGCGAGGCGTTAAGCAATTGCTGGCGCTCCCGCTCCCTTTCGCGCTCCTCGTCCCGCAGCTTCCGCTCCCGGGCCTCCTTCTCCCGCTGCTCCTTCTCGCGCTGCTCTCGCTCCCGCTGCTCCTTTTCGCGCTGCTCCTTCTCTCGCTGCTCCTTCTCACGCTGTTCCCGCAGCTCTCGCTCCTTCTCGCGCTGCAGCTCTCGCTCGCGCTCCTCCTCGCGAGCCAGCCGCGCCCTGTGCTCCTCCTCCAGCTTAATCCGGTCGTGCATGGCCGGCGAAATACCCAGCGCCGCTCCCGGCATCATCGAGTAGAGGTGGGAGTAGGGAGAGGCCATCTGTGGGTACAAAGCAGCCGCGTGCGGATGCGAGGGATGGGCGTTGGCGGCCCGGAGCAGTTGGTAGCGGTGCTCCAGATAAAGCTGTTCCGTGTACGGCAGTCCGGCGGGGTTGAGGAAAGCTGCAGAAGATTCTACGGTTAGGATTCTGTCCAGAGAGTTTATCCACATTTACTTACCCGCTGGTGGAATTCCTGGCAAGCCGGCAAAGTGCGAGTACGCCTCCAGAGGAAAGGCTCCGGCCGGATGCATCAACCGCTCATCCGATCTGTAGGGCTGGAACCCGCTCCTGGCCAGCAGTTCTGGTTGCAGCGACGCCGTTTGTGGAATATGACTTAGCCGGGCAATCTTCTCCGGCGGCTGGGGAGACGGTGGCGACCGCTTCTTGTTGCTGGACACCCTGTCCTCGCCAGGCCTGTCCGATCCGCCACGCGATGCCACCGAGTTCAGGGGCCCCGGGCCGGATGTCGGAGGTGGTCCTCCCGCTGCCGAAGTAGGCACACTCCTGTCGCCGCCCACATCCTCCTCCTTGATGTCGGCCTGCTTGGCCAGCGTCCGCAGGGCGGCAGCAAAGGAGCCGCGACTGTTCGCCGCCGAAGCAGCTCCGATGGCTCCCGGGGGCAAGCCCACTCCGGCCGCCAACTGCTGCTGCACTGCAGCTGCCACCGCCTGCTGCTGCGCCTGGTGTTGTTGCTGTTGCTGCTGCTGCTGGTGGGAATGCTGCTGCGGCGAGGGGGTACCGATGTGATTGCTGGGCAGGGCGTGGTTTAGCAGGGGGTTGCCACCGGCGGTGGGCGGTGCCGGGCTGTTAGCCACCGCGGAGCCTCCGCCCCCACCACCACCACCGCCGCCGCCGGGAGGCGTTTGCAGGTGATGCGGCACTGGGATGTGCGGCGCAGGACTGGTGGCCGGTCGCTTTTGTCCAGCCTTCGGCGGCACTGCAAAGGATCAACACAAAATGCCGTTAGTCGAATTTCGAGAATGTACAGATTTCTAAATGCACTTGGAGGAATAGTTTATAATTTAATAATATTTAATATATTTTAACAGTTATATTCCGTTATTAAAGCCCTTCTATAATAATCCTTGTGAAGAGGTCCTGAAACTCTACCATTTTCTGGCCAAAACCCATCATAAAAGTGTAGCTCCGAAATGGAGGCCCCGTAAGCCCATCAAGAAACAGCTTTCGACTCCGCAGTGCCTCTGTAATGGAACACAACACCAGTAGTTGCCCCGCGGGATGGAGGATGTAGGATGGAGGATGGTCTGGGCTGAGCCGGGGTTCGTTCGAATTTCCTCTGCTAATATCTGATTGATGTCCCCGCGAGTTGTGTGACGGGCAAAAATTGCGCATACGGCTCGTTGCATTTGCGGCAATTTGCATAGCCGGGCGCAAGGTGGATCCCAGGACAGAGTGCGGTGGCGCCACCACTCACCACCCACCGCCCACCATCGTAGCAGCTCTGGAGACTCTGGAGGTAGAGTGGTCAGTCAGTGCAGGTTGGGCCGGCAGGTTGGCGCTGGTTGAATGCAAATGGCGAATGCCCGAAACTTGAATTTCGGACATGGTCCACTCAGGCATGCGAAAAGGGGTGGGAATGGGAGTGGGAGTGGAAGTGGGAAGTATGGCAGGAGGCTGGAGCCTACGCAGTGCCACTGCCACACACTCTTTCTTTCTTTGAGGCTCCTCCGCACGGCGCAAATTGCACGCCCAACGAATTTATCGATTCTTGTTACTCGTTTTCGGGTTGCCCGCTCCGAAATTGCTTTCAGATATGACAGTACCGCCCCCACCCTGCACCAGGCACCAAGCACCGCCCCTTTCGGATCAGCATCGTCGGGAGAGAGGAGTCCTGGCACAATGCTGAATGAATGGAATTTGCAACGACATCGACGGGACAGGACAACGTTGTTATGAGGATGGCACGGCATGTATTTTGAAAACCATTGCGATGGCTTCGTCCTTTGTGAACCTTAAAGCTCCTTGGTCTTAACTATAGAGGGTTTTTTTTCCCATCCGTAAGTTGCAGCAAATATTTGGAATTCCACATCCAAGAGAAGCAACAAACAATTCCAGAAAAGTGAAGAAAAACATTTCGGTTGGTGCGGTTGGAAAAATATTATCACCTCCAGTCTTGGTCTTGGTCTTATTGCTGCGTAAGGTTTTATTTATTTACGAGGTCCTGCCAGCTATCCAGCCATCTAGCCATCCAGGACTCTGAAAGCTTTTATTAAATGAAGAAAAAATGCAACGAAGAATGCATTTGCATCACTGCCTCCATCATCATCATCATCATCATCATCATCATCAGGATGGCTTTTCCCACTATAACATCATGATGATAACGTCTGGTGCATAAGCTCACGGTTTAGAGCGTTTTGTGTCGTTTATGAAAGGGTATCGAAGGGTGAACCAGAGTGGAGGATGGGGGCCTCGATGGAGATGCACATCTGCATCTGCCTGTACTGCGATGGCTGCTGCTATGGTGCATGTGTATTTACCAAACTAAACCGAAATAATGCCCGAAACTGCAGTAGTACCAACATCGATGTTGCCGACGGACGACTAGAACAATAAAATGCCGACGACTGCGAATGCGAATGAGTTTTGGGTGGAGGATGGTAGTGGTAGAGGTGGACCTACCTTACCCAAACCCATCCAAACCCATCAACTCCCTGGACAAACCAAACAAAGCTCCTCGATGCCGATGACGATGATGCCGACGTTGACGTGGCTGGCCGTATTTGCCAGTTTGCCCAACTCAGCCTGTGGGCTTTAGAGAAGGATGGCAGGCAGGCAGGCAGGATGGCAGGATGGCAGGGGGGGCTTATGGAAATGTAGTGTATAGTAGGGGGTCCTTTTGCTCCCATCGCCACACCACCACACCACCTCACAGTCTCGCCATCTCACTCGGTTGTTTGCCATGAAATGCCTGTTTGTTTGCATGGGTTTTGTGTACTTCAACATGGTCCCAGACCCCAGAGATGCAAAACCCCGGATCTATCCCAGTTCTAGTTTCGAACCTGACTCAGTTGCCACACCCTGCAGCAAACATACACTTACACACACATACATAGATGTAGATGTAGATGAAGAGAGAGGAGAGTCCTGTGACTGCTTTGCATTGAGCGGCGATTTGCAGGCATCAGCGATATTTGCCGAATTTAATCAGCGCACTGACACGAGAGCACCGCAAGACTCGACTCCCATGGGTTGCCATGGGAGGTGGAACGATATATGGCATGGCATGGCATGGTATGGTATCCTCTATATCCTCTTCTTTTTTCCGGCTGTCAGTATGACAGTGTGCCCATTAAAGCGGCCAGGAATTTGCAATAGTCCATCAAACGGAATTTGTGGACTAAAAGCCTCTCAGAGACCCGAAAAAACTGGCACACCAATTTTCAACAAAACGTAAGAGGATATGGATATGGATGCAGGATATGGATTTTAAAGCCTTTTCTCAGGTATGACTACTTGGCTTTGGTTGTCTAGTCGTATTATTCCTCAAATCAGAGCCTAATTGGGAAGCTTTAGAGCTTTCGAGTCCTTTAAAATCCGTTTCACAAAATCGATTTTAACCTTCAGGCTTAGAACCCTGCCTGCCTGCCTGGCTGATATCCTGCCGACTTATAGCTCATTTATTAGCTCTAATTGAGAGGGCAGGGGCAGGGGAGGGCTTATTCATTTCAGTTAATTTGGTCAAATGCAAATGTAATTTTGTAAAGTCAATTAAGAGAGAACCCCAGACCATAGACAGCCCCCCAGACCATAATGCAAATCATAACTGCCAATAAATAAATGCTGAATAAATTATGCAGAGAAACAATGCTCTATAGTGCTAGCCATGGTGCTGCTGCTGTTTTGTGGCATTTGTCAAATTTTGCATTTTGGTTCATTGCAACAAAATTGGTTTTCTCGCTTGGGTAAATTAAAATGTCACCGATTGGGAGAAAGGCCAAAATGCAAGCACCAAGCACCACCAACTGCCCGCACCACCCAACCACAAGTGGTCCATATCCTCCTCCATTATTGGGACACATAAACACATGTTTCCATCCACAGCCGCCTCACAGCCGGTCAGTGCACGTTTATTATGGAAAATTCGTAGAGACTCATTCCGAATTTATGCCATTACCACTGCCCTTTTGACCCCTCACACATACACTCTCCACAAATATATATATATATATAATATAGGCAGGGGCTGGATGGACTCCCAAAACCACCAAACATTCCTTGCCACACAGAGAAATGTCGCCGGTGGACGCCGGTCGCTCGCATGCGATTATTCCACCACAACTAATTACAGTGGCAAACGGAACACAGGATCCACCTTCCATCTACCTCCTCTACCTCCTCCTGCTCTCTGAACTGTGTCCTGGTGTGCCCTGCAACGGTGACGGCGCTCCTGTGGCCAGGACATGTTTAGGTCAGCCACAGCACATTCACATGGCGAAGTGCACTAGCCCTGGCCATGAATAATTTATTTAATAAATACATTCACAATTAAATCAAATGCGAAAACGGTGACCCCCCCACCTTCCACCAGCCTAGTGACCTTTTATTCGCAGAACGACTTTGGGGAAATGGGATTACAGGGATGGACATAATGAGTACTAAGTGGAGCCTAATACATGTTATAATACAAATAATTACTCTTCAATGATTTTAATGTATATTGTGTTTAGTATTTTTCTCTCTAAAGGCAGCCAGGACTAAGCAAGGACTCTCTATCAGGATCCAAATCCTTCGGCTATTCGGAATCTTGGAGCTTAATTTACTTTCGCAATTTGCTGAGGAGTTGGAGGCTTCGGACAACGTGTGGTGCACAAATGAATTATAAATTAGGTTTGATTCCATTTCCCCCCTCGCCCCACCCCACCGGCTTCCTTCCTCTGACGGTCTCACCACCATCCTGTGCATGTCCTGCGGCTACCGATGGCGCACTGCACCAGGCCGGAGCCGAGGAGGAGGCCGTCAACAGCTCGTGCGGTTTCATATGCAATTATTTGCCATTGCTGCCGGTACTGTCGGGACTATGGTGCTTCTCGAGCCTGGTTCCGTCCCGGCGGGCAACAATGAAAGGCGGGTGGGCTGCCTCTGGGGTGCCTACTCCACCTCCCTCTCTCCTTGTTGGCCCACTCAAGCCTGAGAAGTGGCCGGAAGCTGGGAACAGGACTCTGGTTTAGTTAGTTTGGCAGGAGTAGCAGTAGCCGTAGCCGTTGCGCCAGCTCATGCATTAATTATTGCTGGTCTGTTGCGGTTGGAGTTTCCCCAACGGAGACCCGACCACAACTGCCCAGGCTGGACACCATGGATACCATGGATGGGCAAAGGATCGCTAGGTGGCTCGGCCCAGTCCCAGTCTCCTCCCGAAAATTGGGAGCAATGTAAACGGCTGCGGTCACGCCTCCAAAATCCCGAAACAGGCCCCCAGCCCCCCTGCCACGCCTGTATGGTGGATATATCGGGTTGTGTACAATATTATTAAGCAAACAAAGCAACAATAAATATGCATAATAATTCCATGCATCATCGGGCATTGGAAGTTCCTGTTCGACCATCACATCCTGCTGACGAGGACGAAGAATCGAATTTCATTTCGCAAATTGGTAGCCAGGGTTCATAATTAGAACTTGATTCTGTTTTATAATTAGGACTAATATTCTTTTTAGTTCTGGATAGAATCCTGAAACGGCGACAGGACCCTGTCCTTGGCAGTGTATTCTCAATTTAATTAATTGGAAAAGCAAAGGCATTTCAGCAATTTTGTCTACAAGACGGCAAATATCGCCTCACAACATTCCGGCACGCACAGAAAAGTGGAAACGGAAGAAGATGCCCGAGGTAAAAACAGGATGAGGAACAGGAACCGGATACGGATCCGCATCCAAAAGGAGGATGCAGTATGCAGAAGAAAAATGTTTGCAAACT